GCGGCGCACGCCTTCGTGCCTCGCCAGCAGCCGCGCGCGTCGCTCCCGCTGCGCGCCGCCGCGGACGACCTCGCGTCGCTGAAAAAACCGGCGCTCGTGGCCCTCTGCCGCGAGCGGGGCCTCAAGGTCTCCGGCACCAAGGCCGTGCTGCTCGAGCGGCTGGCCGGCGCGGAAGCAGAGGCCGCTGCACCGGCCGCTGCGTCTGCAGCACCGGCCGCTACGTCCGCCGCGCCGCCGCCGCCGCTCCCGTCCGCGCCGCCGTCCGCCGCGCCGCCGCCGCGGCCCGCCGCGGAGCCGCGGCCCGCCGCGGAGCCGCGGCCCGCGCGGTCGCTCGGCGCCGCGTTCGAGCGCGGCGGCGACCCGCAGCTCGTCGAGGCGTCCATCGACCTGCTCCTCGGCGAGGTCGCGGCGCTGGAGCCGTCGGCCGTGACGCCCGCGATGCTGGCCGCGAAGAGGGAGCAGCTCCTCGCCGACGAGGGCCGGGCCCTCGACGCCGTCGCCGCGCGGCGCCTCGCGGCGGCTCCGACGGACGAGCGCGTCGTCGGCGCCGTCGCGCTGGTCAAGGGCTTCGCGCGCATGGAGCAGCAGCTCCGGTCGCGGGAGACGATGCGCGACGTCCTCCGCGCGGCGACGCTCGGGGACCACGCGGTCGACGGCTGCTTCTCGGAGCTCGCGCGCGACGGCCGCCTCGACGGGCCCCTGAAGCGCTACGTCGACGACCTCATCGCCCAGCAGGCGCCCAAGGGCGGCGGCGCGCTGCTGGACCGCGTGCTCGAGATCGTCCGCGACCGCATCAAGGCCGAGGACCAGATGCGGGGCAACGACGAGCTCCGGTGCCTCGCGGCGGCGCTGCGCTGCGCCGACGACGCGGCGACGCTCGCCTTCCTCCAGGACCAGCTCGCGACGTCCCTCGACTTCGCCGCGCGCTTCGACGCCTACGTCGCCGACGCCGCGCTGTTCCTCGAGTCGTCGGGCGCGGCGACGTCCGCGGACGAGGCGCGCCTGGACCGCGTCCGGGCGATACGGGACTTCGTCGTGGAGATCCGGCGGGGGATGCCGGTGTAACCTGCTTGAGTGAAACAGGGGGGTGGGTGGGGTCGGATTGGTGTCGAGATCCGGCAGGGGGTGCCTGTCTAGTTTGATTTGGCGGGGTGCGTGTTACGCAGGAAGGGCTGGGGTCGCACAGGGGGACGCACTGGGGGTCGCACCGGGGAGCGCGTCGCTCGTCCAGCAACTTTTTGACAAGGTTTGGCATGTGGTAGATCGTGCCTTTGTCAACTCAGGGGCTGATGTCATCACCACGGACGGAGCTAGCGTGCGCCCAGAGCGTCGCCCTGGCCGTTCTCTCTCGGCCCAACACCCGGGGAGACGCGACGAACGCCCACGCGCCGTTGCTGAGGGCCGCTCGAAGGCCCCCGTCGAGCGCGTTGACGCGCGAAAACTCCTCGCACGGGCCGCGCGGCCAGCCCATGGGGTCGTAAACGCGATTCGTAGAGTTCGGCATCGAAAAATACGCCCTCGAAGCGCCACGCGACCATGTCCCACAACGCGAAACCCGACCCGCGCCACAACATCGCCCAGCCCGACGGCAAGCAGGTCGCGCCGTCGCAGACCGCGACGCAGCGGTCGACGGCCGAGACGCTCACCGGGCTGAAGCGGAAGCAGCGCGAGCTCCAGAACGAGGTCTACGGGGACCTGCAGTTCATGCTCCACCACTTCGTGCAGCTCCAGAGCAGCGACCACACGTCGACGCAGGTCAACGCGGGCAACCAGCAGCGGCTCGCGTCGTTCATCAACCACCTCGAGACGACGATCGAGAAGCTCCTCGCGCCCGCGG